GTCTAAATATCAAAACCACTTTAGTTTGCTGGCGTGTGTATGGTGTAGGACCTTGGATTTCAAATCTTATAATGTTGTGAAATAATGAGCTTTGATTTGGATTTTGTTGCTCAGTCAGTGGCATCTCTAGGATTCATTTTTAGGGGGGGCACATGGTGTGCCAGGGACTAAAGTAGGGGGGCACATTTAACCCCGCCCTTACCGCAGTTTGACCCTGCCTTTGCCGCATGTTAAGCCCCGCCCCCGACACAATGTGTTGTTGTTGTTTTTTTTTATAATCCCTTGTGGAGAATTCATTATTTTCCACCAAGGATTATTAAAAAAACAAACACATTTCCCTTGATACAGTCCATACACACGCACACAGACTGCTGAGTCCTTACACACACAGACACACAGACTGCTGAGTCCATACACACACACACACATAGACACACAGGATACTGAGTCCATTCAAACACAGACACAGACTGCTGAGTACACACACACACACACAGACGTCTGAGTCCACACACACACACAGACGTCTGAGTCCATACACACACACAGACTTCTGAGTCCATACACACAGACTGCTGAGTTCACACACACACACACAAACACAAACACACACAGAGACTGCTGAGTCCATACACTCACAGACACAAACACAGACTGCTGAGTCCATACACACACACACACATAGACACACAGACTGCTGAGTCCATACAAACACAGACACATAGACTGCTGAGTCCACACACACACACAGACGTCTGAGTCCATACACACACACAGACTTGAGTCCATACACACAGACTGCTGAGTTCACACACACACACACAAACACACACAGAGACTGCTGAGTCCATACACACACAGACAAACACAGACTGCTGAGTCCATACACACACACACACACACACACACACACAGACTGCTGAGTTCACACACACACACACAAACACACACAGAGACTGCTGAGTCCATACACACACAGACAAACACAGACTGCTGAGTCCATACACACACACACACACACACACACAAAGACTACTGAGTCCATACACATACTGCAGAGTCCATACAAACACACATACACAGACTGCTGAGTCCATACACACACACACACACCCACAGACTGCTGAGTCCTTACATACACACAGACTGCTGAGCCCATACAAGCACAGACACAGACTGCTGAGTCCATACACATACACACACAGACTGCTGAATCCACACACACACACAGAGAGAGACTGCTGAGTCGACACACACAGACACATACTGCTGAGTCCATACACACACACACACACACACAAACACAGACAGCTGAGTCCATACACACATACTGCTGAGTCCACACACACACAGACTGCTGAGTCCATACACACACACTGCTGACTCCTTACACACACAGAGACTGCTGATTCCATACAAACACAGACTTTTTGAAAGGATTTTTCCTTTTTAGAGTGGGCGGGTGGGCGCGAGCAGCTTGGGGGCGCAAGATTTCAGTGACCGGCAGGAGGGAATCGCTCCCTCCTGCCCGGCCACTTTCTGGACCCCCCGGCTCGGCAGAGTTCTAATCCGAGGCGGCAAGGGAGCTCTAACCTCTCTGCACTGCTCCCTCGCGCGATGTTTGCTGATGCCGCGGGAGCCGGAATATGACGTCATATTCCGACTCCTGGCATCAGTAGACAGCCCGCGAGGGAGCAGAGCAGAGAGGTTAGTGTATGTGTGAGTGTGTTTGTCTGTGAGTGTGTGTGTGTCTGTAAGTGTATGTGTCTGTAAGTGTATGTGTGTGTGTCTGTAAGTATGTGTGTATGTGTGAGTGTGTGTATGTTTGTGTGTTTCTCTGTGTGTGTGTGTGTGTGTGTGTGTGTCTGTAAGTGTGTGTGTCTGTAAGTCTATGTGTTTGTCTGTGAGCAGAGTACTTGTAGAATAGAAGAAAGAATGAGCAGAGTATTTGTAGAATAGGAGAAAGAAAGAGCAGAGTACTTGTAAAAAGGAGGAAGAAGGAGCAGAGTACTTGTAGAATAGGAGAAAGAAGGAGCAGAGTACTTGTAAAAAGGAGAAAGAAGGAGTGAAGTACTTGTAAAAAAGGAGAAAGAAGGAAAAGGAGAGAATTGTTGTTGGCTACCTAGCTCAGCCCTCCTACTGGGCATCGCTAAAAGGAAGGTTAAAATTTTTTAAAAAGGGTGGGGGGAAGGTGGGATGGGGAATTGAGGAGGGAGTGGAGGGGAGCTGATGCACAGATGAGAAATCATATTATGAGCAAACAGAGAAATCGTCTGAATATCACCGAAAGAGGAGACCATCGTTTGTTCCTTACGAAAATCGAACCAGATATCAAATATTTAGTCTCGCTGCATCAACCTCAAGCATCTCATTAATCACTAATAAAGGTAATTTCAATTTACTTTGTTTTCTCATTAAACTTTATAAAGTTAAAAACATTATAAACATGCATAAAGTAGAAATAAAAAGATAAATGTACGTACATTTATTTTATTTTTAAAACACCCTCCTTTCTAAAAAATATTCTGCACTTGCGCGAAAACTGGTGGGTGGTAAGGAAATTTTTTCATCAAGAAAGATGCGATAGTGGGCGGTAGGTTGAAAAAGGTTGACTACCACTGCTCTAAACAATGTGTCTGCAGGAATCTTTAAAGGTCACTGGCTTTGTTTTTATTTCAAATTTTTAATTTACATTTATTAGATTATTTTTATATTTATGATGCATTAAAAATATAGGCTATACCATACGCCCAAAATCTTTCCTTAAGTTCTTACCTTTAAATTCCACAAATAAATATGTCCGTCTTCATGACCAGAGGCAATGACTGGAGAGTGAGGCTGACCATCTGCAAAATTATATTTTATTATCAATTTTTACATCTGGATGATTTGTTATTGTATTCATGTATCCTAATTAACGCCTTTACTGCCAAGAGTTTTGATCTACACTTACATGAGACAAAATACATGTGACAAAATAGCAATTGTATGTACAGATTGCTTTTCAAGGATGCACAATACGAAGCTAAAGGTGTGTCTTGCTTGAGTAATTCATTGCTTTTTTTAGATGGTGGGAATCCACAAGTCATGGCACATAGAATAAAGTCCCTCACAACCAGAGGTTGTAAAATACAGGTAATGCAACACTTTAGCATTCTCCTTCTTCTCTAGTCCCTCTTCCTAAGCATAACCAAGCAGAGGAGAAGGAAAAGCAGAATTAAACAATAAAGTGAACTGGGCAGTTGAACATGAGCTACGGCTCTGGCACCCAAAGAGGGCTTTGGCCTTGTAAACACATTAAAAAAATTCAAAACAATACAATATAGGAAATGTATAGTGGGATAACCAAGAGGTAGCCAACAACCTAGCAGTATGATAAGTGCCTCTGTCCAGGGAAGTTTGTTCAAACTTAAGCCAACTAGCAAGAATGATGGCTTTAGCATCTTGGCTGAAATAGGGTCTAGAATAATAAAATAAAGCACTTCCTTAGTCTGGTGACCTCAACATAATACTCAAGGGCACAATAAACATCCACATTATCCAACAGTCTCTTTTTGACATTCACAGGACAAAGTGGAAACAACAATTTTCTAGTTAAAACTGTACTTCCAAGTTTTTTATAAAGATAAAAGCTTTATGAAATATTTTTCTGACTGTTGGAAATTATTTGAAATTCCAATGTAATCAACAGATATACACGAGACAAAGTAGATACTACTTTGTCTCATGTAACTACCAATATTTGAAAAAATGTCAGCCATAATTGTGTGATGTTTGATAAGAAAAGTCATTGTTTTGCATAATGCACAATATAAATCCCATGGTACCTGATTGCTCATGAAAGTTCCTTTGCAGGATCCTCCATAGACCCATTTTGTACTCTTGCAATGAGCAATGAGCATTTTTTACTCTTGTAATGATGATGGCTCCTGGCACATGAATTTGCCAGGAACAAAAAAACTCGTGACAAGAAGGTGGCAATGTTGAGGTGGAACAGTTTAATGTAAATATATTTCCCTAACTGCTTCACCTTACCAACATTCCTCCATCTAAGCGGTCCCTTGTAGGGTATTTGCAAAGAAACACTCTTAACGTTTAGAGTTTAATTTGACATATATTTATTTCAATGTAAGAAGGTTCCTGTTACTGTTTAGAATCAGGTAACGTTTTTTTTTGTTGTTGTTATTTGTGTTGGTGCAGCTGCTCTGACACCAGTAAAGTCTAAGGACAGAGGGCACATGTGCAACAATTGCCATGCTTCTCAAGCATTGAATCAAATGTTTCTTTATGACAAGATTTAAAAATGTCCCAATGCAGAAGTAATAGACTATTAAGTAAAGTCACCTGGTTTAAATCAAGCATCTCTATTATATAGGAGATTGCCGCCTGCAAAAAAGTCCTGATGTTTTTCAAGAGCTCTCCCTGACTATTACTAATTGTGTCTCTGCCTTTTGGATAAGATCAAGTGTAGTACCCATGACTTGTCATGATCCTCTTGACAGAGGACCAGTGTAATGCTTTGAAGCCCAAGGTGCTATTGAGTTTTCAGGAGTGGTCTTTACCCAACTTCAATTAGAAACCATGGAGGTTTGTACATCAGAAACACCTTTGAACCCTTTAAGGCACCCTTCACTTTTATTCCCATTGCCTTTTTCTTCTACTGCATGTTTCTCCTTCCTCTCATAGGTCCCTTTTCCTGATCCTTCATAATTTATAATTTTCCCTACTATTCTGCCTTCTACTGTCACTTCTCCCTTCCTCACTTCTTTTTATTACCCTCTAAACTTCTGTCCAGAATGCCAAGCTCCCACAAAAGAGACATCTCCACATCACATTCCACTATTTAACTGTGACTTATGAAAGTGATGCTCCCTCTACTCCACCCCCACTACTTATCTACCAGGTTCTTGCAACTACTTGTATTACTTGCACCCTACAATGCCCTCATTGTTTCATCTGAAATGTTCAATAAAACTATTTGCAACAAATTATGTAAATATCTAACCTGAAGCCATTGCTGTAAGTGTTGCATCTGTCTATAAACAAAGAAGAAAATCAATTAGTTTTTAGTATTTAATGAGTCGGATATCTGTATCAGTCTTTTCTCAGATGCAGCAAAACTAGGCCTTGTTTTGTTACCAACAGGCTTGGAACTCTAACAGGACAGTCTACAGTGTATTCACCCATTGTCGTAAGTGTGGAAAGGTTTTTTTGAAACAAAATTTGTAGCTACCTGTACTGTACCAAAACCACAACACAGTTCACAACTTTATCTCTGACTTAACTTTGCCAAGTGACATAAATTGGAACAGGTACACTTACAACAGAGAACATCAAAATGTTTACATATAGTACTGACAGAAAAAAAAAAGGATTTTTCTGGACAAATGTTCAACAACACAAAAGAATGTTTATATGAACAAATTAATAGTAATATTTTATTTTAAATTATACATACCTTTATTCTGCTTTTATCTTGTTGTAATACAACAGAAGCATGTACTCTGTAATTAAAACATGGTAGGTGCATGTTTCACTAGCTCATACACATGTTATGCTCTTTTCACTCCACATACAAACTAGGTTGATAGACAGGCAGATATAGATAAACAATATACTAAATGACACTCATGATTTAGTAAATTGTCAGGTGCTTACCTTGACACAGTCACCACTTTTCTTGGATAGAGGAACAAAATAGTATTTACACTCTGTTTTTGAAGATCGTTCATTGTGGTCTGCATTTTGTCGTTCATAAAACAGCTATGGAATATAAAAATATGTGTTGTTTTTACATAGCAACATTATTTATTGATTTATTTATTCATAAAATATGTTACCAGGAACGATACATTGAGATTTCTCTCGGTTTTAAGTATGTGCGGAGTCCACAAAACATTATATTGTTACAACAGGGGTATAATAAAATACAAAAACAATATTAATACACAATATACACAAAATGTAACAGGTAAGAAATATATAATCAACCGTGACAGGTGCATTCTGTTTTGAGATATATAGAGAGGGATTTCTTAAAGGATTTTAGGCTTTGGAAAGATTTGAAAGTGTGTGGGAGGTCGTTCCATAATTGTGGTGCTCTGTAGGAAAAGGAGGATCGAGCCGCTTTTTTTTTGTATTGAGGTAGACTAAATAAAGTGCTGGTATTGGATCTGAGGTTATAGGAGGTGGGAACAGCCAAGGAGAGCATTCTGCTCAGGTAGGGTGGAAGCTTCCCAGAAATACTCCTAAACACAATGCTGGAAAGATGAAGGGTGCGTCTGAATTCCAGTGACAGCCAGTCTAGTTCTTTTTGCATGTCACAATAGTGGGTCATGTAATAACATTGTTACACAAAGTGGCAGAACAAGTCATACAATGTATTAAGCTTATTAAGGTGAGTTTGCGGTGCAGGTGGATATATTACATCCCCACAATCAATGATTGGCATCAGATTTTGCTCAACATGCGAACACGTGGCAGTGGCCATCTTTAGCCGCGAACACAAAAAGCGGTGTTTGGTCGTTGAACATCCCTTCCATTGACGTTCGGCTAAACGGATGGGAATTGAACAATGTTCTGTGGGAGCAAGCTCCCGAACAAGAGACATAGACTAAACCTATCCACAAACTGTTACGTTCGGTACTATTGACTATATTGGGTATTCCTGAAAGAGACCGACCGCACAGCCTGAATTCATGGAACTCTTCATTCAGGAGCCTCATGTGCGGTCAGTTAAAATATAACTTCCATGGAAATTCCGAACCCCTGAATGGATCTGGGTGATTTTTGGATATATTGGTTACCCAGATCGGGGCTATCAGGGGATGTAACTTTTGTGGGGTTTCCATGGGTTTTAGGGGTACTTTCAGGGTACTGCTGAAATGTGTGTTTTTGTGTCTGGAGATAATTAAGTTAGCACAGTTCCTGATCCAATTAACTCTCAGGCACAGGGGAGGAATTGTCTCATTTTGTATGGGAGTGTCCTGGACCTGTGAGCCAATGTAATCCCATGAATGTTTTTACTGTTGTCTACTCTCAGGTCCAGGGGTGTCCCTTGCATGGGAATTGTCATAAAAGATTGTGTGGCTCCATTAAAACCAGTTGTCCCACAGCATAGAGCCTCGATGTATGTTTGTGGGAGAAAGCTATACCAGTTGTATCCCTTCTGCTTGGAGTGCTTAATTATTAGCTCTTGTAAAAGCTGTTCCTGCTCTGCTTTACAGAACCCCTCCCAATAGGGGGAAAAGAACATCTCTGGCAGCGGAACCCCTCTTCCCATCGGGGGGGGCCGCCATATATACATCTGGTTTGGGGTTGTTGTTTTTTTCCACTGCTCCTCCTCTTTTTGCCTCTATTATTACTTTTTTCTCATTTGATCTGTGAACCAAATGGCAGGAAAATGCTCCTATCAGTTAACTTTAAAATATATACATACTATTTATATTGTCTATATATTTTGCAGTACATTAACAGACACATTTTTTTGCATTTTTGGTTTGCGTAATTCGTTTTTCCACGCCGAACCATCATATGACTAAATTCTTAATGAGACCTTACGGAACTTTACTGAAGGGTGATAGTGTGTATATATAGTGGATGCAGAGAGAGAGAGAGAGTGTGTGTGTGTGTGTGTGTGTGTGTGTGTGTGTGTGTAAAATGTAATTAGAACATGTCAGACAACATTTTCAGTGAAACGTATATTCAATATTTCAACGGATAATTATTGGCTTCTGATAAGTCCTTAACAGCGTATACAGCGAGGGAAAAAAGTATTTGATACCCTGCTTATTTTGAACGTTTGCCCACTGACAAAGAAATGATCAGTCTATAATTTTAATGGTAGGTGTATTTTAACAGTGAGAGACAGAATAACAAAAAAAAAATCAAGAAAAACGCATGTTGAAAAAGTTATAAATTGATTTGCATGCCAATGAGTGAAATAAGTATTTGACCCCTTCGACTTAGTACTTGGTGGCAAAACCCTTGTTGGCAATCACAGAAGTCAGACATTTCTAGTAGTTGCCCACCAGGTTTGCACATATCTCAGGAGCTATTTTGTCCCACTCCTCTTTGCAGATCCTCTCCAAGTCATTAAGGTTTCAAGGCTGATGTTTGGCAACTAGAACTTCCAGCTCCCTCCACAGATTTTCTATGGGATTAAGGTCTGGAGACTGGCTACGCCACTCCAGGACCTTAAGGTGCTTCTTCTTGAGCCACTCCTTTGTTGCCTTTGCTGTGTATTTTGGGTCATTGTCATGCTGGAATACTGGAATTGACTATATTGAGTATTCCCGAAATCCATGACCCATTTTCAATGCCCTGTCTCAGCAAAGAAGGTTCTCACCCAAGATTTGATGGTACATGGCCCCCTTCCATCGTCCCTTTGATGCCATGCAGTTGTTCTGTCATTTAGATGTTCATTGGCAAACTTCAGACAGGCCTGTACAAGTGCTTTCTTGAGCAGGGGGACCTTGCAGGCGCTGCAGGTTTTCAATCCTTTCTCGGCGTAGTGTGCTACCAATTGTTTTCTTGGTGACTATGATCCCAGCTACCTTGAGATCTCAAACAAGATCATCCCGTGTAGTTCTGGGCTGATTCCTCACCATTCTCATGATCATTGAAACTCCATGAGGTGAGATATTGCATGGAGCACCAGACCGAGGGAGACTGACAGTTTTTTTGTGTTTCTTCCATTTGCAAATAATCACACAAACTGTTGTCACCTTCTCACCAAGCTGCTTGGCAATGGTCTTGTAGCCCATTCCAGCCTTGTGTAGGTCTACAATCTTGTCCCTGACATCCTTGCACAGCTCTTTGGTTTTGGCCATGGTGGAGAGTTTGGAATCTGATTGATTGCTTCTGTGGACAGGTGCCTTTTATACAGGTAACGAGCTGAGATTAGGAGCACTCTCTTTAAGAGAGTGCTCCTAATCTCAGCTCGTTACCTGTATAAAAGACACCTTGGAGCCAGAAATCTTGCTAATTGATAGGGGATCAAAAACGTATTTCATTGACATGCAAATCAATTTATTACTTTTTTGACATGCGTTTTTCTGGATTTTTTTTTAATTATTATTCTGTCTCTCACTATTAAAATACACCTACCATTAAAATGATAGACTGATCATTTCTTTGTCAGTGGGCAAATGTTCAAAATCAGCAGGGGATCAAATACTTTTTTCCCTCACTGTACTTAATTAATCCAAAACCAACAAATGACTTATCTCCATGAAGATGATCAGATCAAATTTAATTGGGGCCCTAGTCTTCTTCCAATGCATGTTTGAATTTTCATGATAGAAGCAAAAGCTGTCATGAATAAAAAAAAAATGCTTTCTTCTGAAACGTTGCCCAAAAGTGGGGCAATCCCCATGGAAACCAGTGGAACCAGCAGATACATTGCATTGGTGACTCCATCCCTTTTCCATGTTTGCATGTTTTCCCCACTGATCAGAAGACTCTTTTTATACATAACCCAATAATATACACACAAACAGAGACACATATATCTGATATATATTATTATTTTCATAGACTAAACTCATGATATTTTAAAGGAACACTATAGTTCAGGAACACAAACATGTATTCCTGACCCTGTAGTGTTAAAAACACTACCTAGCCCCCCTTACTCCCTATATATAAAATATAGCAAACTCTTCCCTTTATTCCAGTTGGTGCTGGCTCTATCCCTGATCTGCCTTCTTGGCTGACATAATCAGAAGGAAAGCCTTGGGTTGATATTGTTAATTCTGATGCTCTCAGCCAAGGAGGTGGACCGGGGACAGAGTCAAACGCCACCCTGACCAATCATCATAGAGATGCCAGTGCTGCAGTGCTGAGGAGTGGCCACTGGAGGTGTCCCTAGGAACACCTTCTGAAAAGACAGTGTTGACTGCAAAAAGCCTGCAGGGTCTGATTATACGTACCAGAACAACTACATTAAGTTGTAGTTGTTCTGGTGAGTATAGTGTCCCTTTAATTATTTCAATAATATAGTGCTTGTTCTGTCACTTGGGAATAAGATATTCAACGTATAATGCCTCAGTGAATGCCCTTTCTTTTAGTTAACTAAAATGTAAAATGTGCTTTCTTGAATAATAATAGTAATAATCATGCATGTTATCAAAGGAATCACTAAAATTAAAGCTGTGAAATACTGTTCACTGGAAGAGATATTGTTTGGATTTCAGAACATACATATGCTGGACAGCTCCTTCTTCAAAGTTATATAGGTTTATTGGTCCATTTTCACTTCCAGTTGCAAGAAGAAGACTTTTTTCTATTGCTAGCGCATCACAGCATGTCAGTGTATTTCTGAAAGGCGCTTTCTAAACATATTTAAAAAAGCACGGTTTGTTATTGTTTTGCATATGTGTATAAGATTATTATTGAATATTCACAGTTAAAATCAACTATGTAAAATGCATCTGGTATACTAGAATTATTGTGATAAAGGAGCAAAAAACATAATACATAGAAATATACTAAATGTGTACACTAATTATGTGTAATAAAATCAGAAATCTACATTTGCCTCCATCAGCACAGGATCTCAACCATGTAACTCAGATAAAATGAGGTTGGGGAAAAGACCAGAGGCTATAGAACAAGAGGAACATTTTAGGAAAATGTTGTTTACTAAGTAATGAATGCACACTATTGTAATGGAGGATGCAACATGTTAGAGAAGGTATCCTGATAGAATCCCAAAGAAGATAAGTCAAGGGCAGGGATTGGCTAAAGTATGCTCCCTCTTTATGATTAATTCTTTCAAACAATCACATGTATTTGTATAAAACAATAGACTAAATGTATCCCCACTGACATGCCCAAAATATCTAGCTTTCTTTGAAACTATTTATACGGAGGATGAATAAACATATGTTCACTTGTCTGTATGTATAACCATATAGCAGTGCTATGCTGTTACTATACAAACTGTTAAAGGGTTTATTTAAATATACATATCTATATATATTAACTATAATAGATTTTATATTTGTTCACTTAACATGTAAGTCTTTTAAGAGAGTTTCACAAATATCTAATTTTTTTTATGTGTGATTTCAATTAATTTCAATCAATTAACAAATTACTTAATGACAGCAAATACTAAATACGTGTATGGTTGTTTGTTCTTACAAATCTAAAATTACACTGCATGGCCAAAACTATGTGTATACTACTTTTTATTAATGGCTTTGAATACATACAAAATTACAGTAGATTGAGTGCAGTGCAGAGTGCAGTATTCTGCTATTGCAGGGTGGCCAAGTGGTAAGCCGTACAAACTGCACAACCATATACAATCGCATGTACTATGTAAAAATAATCTTGCTTTATTGACAAAACTCATAAATGAATTTACAGCTATTTACATCTGCCTCTGGAAAAAAGATCAGTACAACTGATTTCACCCACAACTCAAAATTAGTTTTTATGGTGATCAACAATACAAGAACCTAGGATCACAAGCATTAACTAGAGTGATATAAAGATCACTCCAACTGGACTCTAGAGCAGGGGGAAATGTGTTAGAGTGTTAGGTCATGCGTCACCATCCTGCAGCCCAAGAAGTGACAGTGAGATTTGTGGATGCCATAGTAATGCTACTCGCTGACCTCTTGATCTTAACAATAGAATTTGTTGGATGAGGAACAATAGTCAACGTGAATTTTCATAGATAGGGCTAGAACCTTAGCTCCAGCAAAATAATGTCTTAATTATATAGCATTAAACAACATTCAAAATAGTTTGGTGATTCCAGCATTATGGCAGCCATAGTGGGGAATACATTGGATGTTTATAGCAATGCATTTCAGCTTAATTTGAAGTTTATACAGAAATTATTTGTCAAGATCAGTGTGGAAGAAATTGATTAGACTACAGAGTGCACTATCCTGAGCACCATCAAACATTTTGGATATGAATTGAAATATTGAGTGCAAATACGAATTAGTCACCCCAAAACTAGTACCCGACATATTATCGGTCATGTAACTGAAGAAAGGTAACATGGTTGAGAGTGTCAAAGCAGCAAAGATGTTACCAACTTCATGTTAATCTCTTTCATTTTAGAATAAGAGGTTCAATGAGCAGGTGTTCACACACAAGATCATAAAATATTCAGCGCAATAAAGGAATATGTTGAAACAACAAAAATCAAATATCTGTTATAATTCACATTATGTGCTCTGGGCTCCCGCGAGGAGACGGCTGAGGAACTCAAGTTACCGTCCCCTCTGGGGGGACTTTAAGGATCCCTCCAGGGGATGGGCATGCAATCTAGTGCCCCATGGCGAGATGCTATTACAAGATTGAAGATGCACCTAGCCATGCACCACATGGGCAGAGATTCTCATCCCCTGACTGTTCCCCTCCCACCCTTTCCAGACCCCTTATGCCCTCCCCCTTTATTCTTTTTCTCACCCTATGACTATCCTCCCCTTCTCCTACATCACCTTCATTTCCTATGTCCTTAGTTACTTCTGTCTCTATTATACTCTTGATCCTTCTATCCTCTCTGAATAACACTAACATTACGTCCTGATCTTCTCATGAGATGTCATGCCTGTCGAGATGAAACTTGACCTCTGAGAAAGTCATAAGGGCTGGAATGGCAGAAATGTAATATCACTACACTCACTGTAGGGTCGAGGGTGTCGATAATATGCTGCTGTTTACGCTTATAAACGACACAAAATCTAAGCTCGACTGCTGAAGTCGTTCTATAATTGGTTGGTAGGATAGTTTAGGTTTTATCTTATCTTTTATCTAAATACCCTGGTGGATTACCACCGATGTAAAGACTACTACAAATGTTGTGTATTGCTTTATTGACTTCACTGCTGTTGATTGCGGTTTCGATTATTCACTTATTTTTGTTTCCTGTTAATACAAAACTGTTATTATATGGATGTAAATTGATACGTTCTTTTACCTGTGTTAAACATGTTTGTGTCCTGCCTTGAAATAAATAAAGATTTTTTTTTTTTTAAATAATTCACATTACGTGGTTTGGCTTTTGTTAAATATTGAAATATGTTCTTGGGTTAATAAATTGACATATGCACTTTATTTATCTTTAATCAGTATATATAGCAAAGTAGATAAGATGCTTTTCTTACCTGTTCACTATATTCATTAGATTTTAGAAGAACCACTGGTTTGATTCTTGGAAATTTTTTGGATTTTCCAATAGGCTGTAGTGTAGGATTAGGTGTTCTCCCCAACGGATCAGGCTCTACAGTAAACTCCATAATCACATTGAGAAACTTATCATCTTTTCCAGACTATGAAACAAAATGTATTATTGCAAAATAATGTTTTAATTCACATAGTCAATACACAGTCTAGGCTCCATAACAACTATATACCTATGCAGTGGCTTTGGTGCCAGTAGGCTGTAGGGGCTGACTTTGTTTCTGAGTCAAACTGTTGCACTTTGACTAAAACCAGAAGTCCCTGAGGGAACCTGCAGCCCACTTCCACATTAGCAATATCAGTTTAATCCATATTTTAACTTCACACATTGGCTGGGGTGCAAAGCTTAAATGGTTAGTCAATGAACGACATTAACACATGCGTGAATTGATACTGCTTAAGTTGTGCAACGTTTCTTGGATCCTCTGGGAACCACTCTCAAATAATTTGATTAAGAACTGAGGGACAAGGCCCAAAGCTTAATAGCACTATAAGCCAATGTAAGGTTGATCACACTGATTAAAAAAGCACAAAGAATTAGAACCTGCACTGAAACTCCCTCTACTATTGAGTGGTAGCAATGGCTATAGCAAATATCAAGCAAAACACACAAAAATTTTACACATGCACTAACCTAAATCACTATACATTTTAAATAACAGAGGTTTACTGTACCACTGCAATGGCTATTACAGTCTAAACTCAGCTGTGAACTTTAAGGCTCCAATGATGACAATTCTCCTTACTTTCACTTAAAAAGGAAACATCTCTAATGAGATCAGAAGACGAATACTCTAGTTGTAGCGGACACTGGGTAACCGGGCTGGTTACCTCTGCTATTAATGACTGAAGAGACCCATATCCCCCCAGTAACCAGACAACACACAGTTCCAGGGGTACAACAACAACTTTATTGGCCACACTTGGCTTTATACTTTTCCCCATGCAAGCGATGGATCACACATAAAGACAATGTCCCCTCCCAGGGTCCTCCCCCTCCCAGGGGTAGTATAACAGATCCAGAACCCCAGTCCCTTTGTCCCCTGTTCCTGCCACTCAGTGTCCCCTCCCATGGTCCTCCCCTCCCAGGGGTCTCCTGACAGAAACGGCACTCCAGTCCCTTTGTCCCCTGTTCCTGCCACCCATCCTCAGGGATTCCCATCTCCGGTGACAAGAGGTCTTCATCCCATGAGCCTCTGTACCTGGGAGCCCCAGCATGGGAAAGCATCCCGCCTCTTTGGCTCTCAGCTAATGAAAGCCCGCCAAACCGCCATCATCCCCAAAGAGTGTCCCCACCAATCTCAGGGACCCCCAGGATGGTAACTGCCACGAACTGCCTCCGTTCTCAAGGTCCCTGGGTAAAACCAGGCAAGAGAAGCGTCTCTATTTAGGATACGAATGCTTCCCCTGGCCGGCACTTGTCTGTACAAACGGCGACCACCCAGGGAAGCACTCATTAATTACTTCCCTTGCAGTTTCACACTTATGTTGCGAGTTGCCAACGTTGTTATTTATTGGTGCGAACTTTCCACGGGGCACTAGGGAATGCTCCCCGTGGATAGCTTTCGTCTAACGAACGGGCTGCCACCCAGGGGAGGCATGCACCGAGGCTTCCCTTGTGGTTTGCAGTTTTGACACCCCATTAAGAGGTGCGAATGTTCGAAAACAACATTCTACATTAGGTTTCGAGGTGGTCCCAGTTTGGGAGGGGAGTGGATTCCCTTCGTGGGGGCTCTCCCGAACAGGGAGCAGACAGTTTGATGAACCCACAGAGTAAACTACAGGAACATGATAGGGAAAATACACGAAAGGAAGAGAGAACCCCTACCCCCAAGACAGTACACACACAACGGGGAAATCAGGGAAATTAACAGTTTGGTGGCAGACCCGCTACACTCTACAATACTATAGTAGAAATTAATTAACCCTATAAGGGTTAAACAGAAGCACACAAAATAAAGCCTTTTAATTAAAACATCACAATACCAACTGCATCAACTTAATCTTAAAGGTCCGTCTGTGTCTGATTTTGAAATGAATTGAAAAGGTAAGTAGGGTTCACTTCTGATTTTGAATTGAATACAATAAGAGCAGACAAAAAAAAGTGGTCAAAATATTTGAAAAGATTAAATTTAAGATTTAAAGAAAAATATTAAGCTCATTTGAGTAGAGCCTTCTTCACCTCTTGTATCTGTCAGTATTTTGTATGGCAATCACATATTGTTAAATATCCATATTCTATAATTGTAAAGTGCTGTGGATTATGTTGGATAATAATAATAGTAAGATAGTGTTTATGTAGTATAATCTGTTTTAAAAGACTAATAAAAGAAAATAAATCAAAACACAATATCCATGTATTTCACAGACATTTCATACAATCTTCCATAAGAAAAATTCCAATCAAAGTAAAACTAACTTGGAGAGTATTTAGTGTCCATTACTCACCACTGGGCTCCTGTTGGCATGATTTAAGCCAATGTTATTCTAGGAGACTGTGTCACTGGCACAATGATTGGGGAACAAGAAGTATAATGTAACAGGGTAAAAAGAGAACTATACAGTATATCAATGCCCAGGCCCAGGGGTAAAGTAGCAGCATGTATTCTAGCTGTTTTATGGACAATGCAGAATGGCCAAAGACAACCACAGATCTAGTTTGAGCACTATCATGGATGGATCCATTCAACAAAATCACATACAATAACTACTGAATGTGTAGTGGACCTTGCACTATGATGTTGAGCCAAGCAGCATTCGTGTTCAAAGCACAATCCGCAAAACCATTATGCCTGCACTAGTAATGGGAGAAACAAACTTTGGAGGGTTGAATGCACAAGATTTATCAGCAACACAGTGTCAGGTGGTAAATGTAGCAGAGTTTTCATTTAACAGTATTCTTATTCGGCAATATGACTTTGTTATATAGATTTATGCGGTAAAGGTATGTCCAATGAGTCAGCTGACACCAGAGTGTAAACTATAGCCTCTTGGTGTTCTGCGCTCTTGTTTAAGCTGTTAACTTGTTAACAATGGCATTATTTAGTGTTGTAATAATTGCATATAATATATACATACATATATATATAGTGATCAGCCACAGCATTAAAACCATCTGCCTAATATCATAGGTCACGCTTATGCTACTAAAACAGTTCTAATGAGTCAAGGTATAGAATCCACAAGACCTCTGAACATGTCCTGTGGTATCTGACACCAAGACATTAGCAGCAGGCCCTTTAAGTTCTGCAAGTTGCGAGGTGGGGACACGATAGATTGGATTTGTTTTTCCAGCACATCCCACAGTAGCTCAAACAGATTGAGATCTGTGGAATTTGGCGGCCAGGGCAACACCTTGAACTCTTTGTCATGTTCCTCAAACCATTCCTGAACACATTTTGCCATGTGATAGGGTGCATTCTCCAACTGAAAGGGGCCACTGCAATAAGGGACACCATTGCTATGAAGAGGTGCATGCGGTCTGCAGCAATCGCTAGGTAGTACATTTCCAAGTAACATCCACACGAATGCCAGGACCCAAGGTTTCCTAGCAGAACATTGCCCGAAGCATAACACTACCTCTGCTGGCATGCCTTCTTCCAATAGTGCATCCTGACTTCTCTTCCCCAAGTAAACAATGATCTGACACGTTTCTATCATGGACAGCATTAAGTTTTTCATCAATTTGAGCTACAATATGTGTATGATGGGACCAGACGGTCTAGCCTTCACTCCCCACATTCATCAATGAGCCTTGGGTACCTATGACTCTGAAACCAGTTCTTATTGTGTCATTCCTTTCACAACTACTAACTACTGCATACTGGAAATCCCCTACCAGTCATATAGCCATTGTCAGAGTCACTCAGATCTTTTTGCTAGCCTATTTTTCCTACTTCCAACACATGAAATTCAATAACTGACTATTCAGTTGACAGGTGCCATTGTTATTAACTTCAACTATCAGTGGTTTTAATGTTGTGACTGATCGGTGTCTGTATATATATTTTTGTCTGTAAATACCTGTAGAATTTTGATGGTCCCCTTGAGGTTCACAGCAACAATTATTTGTGTATTTTCAGGATCTCTATGAAAGCATACATGAATAATGCTTTGTTTCTCATCTTTATTGCCTTTCACTGGAGTCATCGCTTTAAGCTCCCGGCCACTTCCAAGATCCCACGTTTGCAAGGACCCTAAATAAGAAAATAAGATTTACAACTCACCACTAGTTCACTGCTAATACTATCACTGAATTTTCATGAGAAACTGATAATTATTTAGATATGTGGTATGTAGGAAAAGGGTCAAAACTCAGCCCAACCACAACAAAACATTTTCACAAGCAGGATGAGCTTTCCACTAATATGGTGATCATGATTTTTACATCTTCTGTACAGGTAATGGAGAGTTCTGAGATTATTTGTTCTTTTTTAAGAGGTTAAATTCTGTTCCCTTGTTTGAAATAAATGTTATGCAGCATACTCAAGTACATTTCTAAAGATACAGTTTCATTCTGTCCTTATTCTAGTGAAAGATGGAAAGACATATAGACAAAAATAGATGGTGCATGTTAAAGGCATCCATTCAAATAGTGCTGGTATTAACTGAGAGTGTCCAATTCTGCTTGCTGAACTGCTTTATGGGTGAGGAGTATACTAGTTTAACCTGACTTTATAAAAGTGGCTATTTGTTTTTTTCTGTTCAAATTAAAAAAAAAATATTATTTCAATGCAAAATTTGCACTCTTATAAATGCACTATGGAACAAACTCCTGGCTGTCAATCAAACAGCCAGGGAGGTTTGCAGCCTCCTTCCATTAGCTACCCTGAGCACGCCTGCCTCCTCCCAAACAGATCTCAGACCAGCACCTTCAGGCCTCAGACCAGACATGTATGCACATGCATGCGCAATGGTGTGCGTGTGTGCATGTGGGCATCAATTAAGAGGCTTCTCAATGAGAAACCTCTGATTGATTATTTCCCTGTGAAGACACTGAAAATCTCTTCCTTGAACAAAAGGGAAGAGCTTGCTTAGGCGGCAGTTCATAAGATCTTTTAAGAAGTACCTCCAATGAAAACATGGATGAAACATTCATGCATGTATTCATGGGGATATATCTACTAAACAGTGATTTTTTTAAAATACATTTTTTTTTTGTCCATTTAGGAAGTGAAGTGTTCCTTTAAAATGCAAAATGCATTTACAGTTAAACAATGGTGGTAATAATGGTGTGTAAATAACGACAGAGGGAAACAAAAAGGCCACCAAGCAGGTAATTGTTGTAGAACTGACTAGAAAAACAAAGGAAGATACTCTTTAATGTTCTGTTACAATGCTGTGAATGAGCTGGTATTATCATTGAAAGAAAAGTGATGTTCGCATACCATCATAAGCTCCAGTTACAAAGTAAAATCCATTAGAATCAATAGCTGCAGCAGTCACTTCTGTTGTTGATCCATGGACATTTGTTATTTGATATATACATGAACCTTTCTTAAAATCCCATACCTGCCATTAAATATCACACAGACATTATTATAAGGCATGAAAACATTGCTTAAAGTTAAAACTACTTTAAAAAAATAATCAGAACAGCAAACCAATAAAGCAAAGAGCCAGATCTGAAAACCAGTAAAAAGATAAATTTTTCAATTCCATTCAAGACTCCATCCAACAGCCATTTTGATATATTTCTTCAACTATTGATCATTGTTCATGAAACATGATCACAGGCTTTCCAAATGTCCACTTTCATCAGGAAAGCCCCTATTTTAGGGTCCTGTCTCACCTTCCAGATTTTGTTACCTGGTGTATATCTTGGAACAACAAGGAGCTGTGGCCATCATTAGATGCTCTTCTGTGGTGGGTTCTAGGACCATGCAAAGAGTACTTCATATGTGCTCTCTGCACAGTCTTCTGTGTTGAGCAAAGAAACACTGAAAGAGCTGGGAGAGGTTGGAGGAGCACCAGGATAGAGCAATATCTCATAAACCAAAATTACGGAGAATGAGAAGAAGCTTTTGATGATCAACAGTGTAAAAAGCAGCGGAAAGGTCAAGGAGAATTAGGATAGAATAAAAACCACGAGATTTTGCAGTGAGCATATCATTGAATACTTTGGTCAGAGTCGTTTCCACAGAGAAATGAGTGTGGAAACAAGACTAAAGCAGGTCAAGCAGAGAGTTGGATTCGAGGAAGTCTGTCTCACGTACATGACTTTTTTAGGATTTTTGACGCAAAAGGCAGTATCGAGGTAACGCGGTAGTTGGACGGGGAGTTAGGGTCGATGTTGGGCTTTCTTAGAATTGGGGTTACAGTTGCATGTTTGAAGGGTGATGGAAATATGAGGAGTGGGAGAGATTGAAAATTTTAGTGAGAGGCAAGGCTAGAGAAGGAGACAGAGTACGGATGAGATGTGAGGGAATAGGATCAAGGGAGCAGAGCAGAAACCTCTTCCGCTATAGCAAGTGCAAATGAACATAGCACAGCAGAGGGAGTGAGGATGCGTCATCTCGGTATCTAATGGCAATCAGGCTACCTCTGGCGAGCACATGAAGGGCTGTGCAGCCCCCCAAAGAAATGCCACCCCACACGATTACTGACCCACTGCCAAACCGGTCGTGCTGGAGGATGTTGCAGGCAGCAGAACGTCCTCCATGGCGTCTACAGACTCTGTCACGTCTGTCACATGTGCTCAGTGTGAACCTGTTTTCACCTGTGAAGAGCACAGGGCGCCAGTGGCGAATTTGCCAATCTTGGTGTTTTCTGGCAAGTGCCAAACGTCCTGCATGGTGTTGGGCTGTAAGCACAACCCACACCTGTGGACGTCGGGCCCTCATACCACCTCATGGAGGGTTCTGGCAGTGCTCCTCCTGTTCCTCCTTGCACAAAGGCGGAGGTAGCGGTCCTGCTGCTCCTACGGCCTCCTCCACGTCTCCTGATGTACTGGCCTGTCTCCTGGTAGCGCCTCCATACTCTGGACACTACGCTGACAGACACAGCAAACCTTCTTGCCACAGCTCACATTGATGTGCCATCCTGGATGAGATTCACTACCTGAGCAGGTTGTAGACTCCGTCTCATGCTACCACTAGAGTGAAAACACCGCCAGCATTCAAAAGTGACCAAAACATCAGCCAGGAAGCATAGGAACTGTGAAGTGGTCTGTAGTCACCACCTGCAGAACCACTCCTTTATTGGGGGTGTCTTGCTAATTGCCTATAATTTCCACCTGTTGTCTATCCCATTTGCACAACAGCATGTGCAATTGATTGCCACTTAGTGCTGCTTCCTAAATGGACAGTTTGATTTCACAGAAGTGTGATTGACATGGAGTTACATTGTGTTGTTTAAGTGTTCCCTTTATTTTTTTGAGCAGTGTATATATATCTCATACATACATATATATATTTTTTTTTATTAACTTTATTAACTTTATTTTAAAACTTTTTTTTAACTTTTTTCACCAGCAGGGGGACTGCCTGTCAGTTCAGGCAGTGCCCCTGCAGGCAACACTATGGACGCCTATTGCAGCGATGTGATTGCTCTTTCAGAGCGATCACATGGCCCTTGGGGTCCTATTTTGCATAGGGGGGACTATCTGGGCTGTCAGACAGTCCCCCCCCCCAGTGGAGAAGAAGACCGATCCCCGGCGGGGGACCGGCGGCGATTGGGTGAGTGAACGGGAATAGAGGGAGAGGGAGGGAAAGGGAGGTAAGAGGAGGCTATTTTTTTTAAATTTTTTTATTAATTCTTTCACTGCTTGCCTCGACCCCTCGAGGCACTCAGCACAAGCAGAGCATAGGAATCCTGGCTGATGGCTTCCGATGCTCTGCCTCACTGCTGGGCTCCACGCGGAGCAACCCGGAAGTGATCGCTCCAGGGGAGCGATTACCCGGCAGCCTGGCAGTGAAGAGGGGTATTGCAGGATGCCTCGACATCTAGGCATCGCAGCAATACCATCAGAGCAGCTGGAAGCGATCATGATCGCTTCCAGCACTCTAAATCAGGTACATCCAAGTTTGTTAACGACCAGTTTTTGTCGGACATACCGGATATGACCGAGGTCACTAAGAGGTAAAAGGGGCACTCCAGACACCGAAACAACTTCATCTAAATGCCCTCTTGCCTTCAGGGATTAAAACATTATTGACAGTAAGAGCAGAAAAATTAAGAAACCACTCTGGTACTCCGCAGTAGTGACCATAACAGTATGAAAAAAAAAGTTAGCCTTTAGTAATTATTAAAAAAAACAGAGTGAGGAAGACAGAATGATCTATAAGATTAGGCAGAAAGAAGCTAAGCAAGTTATAAGCAAGTTATAAGCAAATCACACACAGAAGAGAAAATAGCACAGTCAGTAAAAATGGGAGATAAAATTTTTTTAGATACATAAATAAGAAAAGGAAAGTAAAACAAGGATTAGTTAGATTAAAAACAAAAGAAGGGGAGGGTGGGACCGGACCACCATGCTGACCGATCGCACGCGGTAGAGGTTCCGGCGGGGACGGGCTTTTTAAGCTGCATCCAGTGGCTCACAGGCTTCCTCTGAGCCTGGAACAAACTAACGCCTGGGGCTTTCTGGCACCATTACAACTTTCTGGGCTACCTAATGTTAATTCTGTGCAAAAATGATGCCTGTCATGAGCACACACTGCATGCTTGTCACAGACATTAGTAGCTTCCACCATTGCAGGCAGTGCTGTGAGAGCATCTACAAGTGGAATCTTACATGTCCCCTCCCTCCTGTGATCCCTCACAGCCCTTTCCACCTCCCTACATTTATCTTTTTCTTTTTTTTTTTAAAGCAAATCTGTCCTCTCCAGATCTCTCACCGGCTCTCTTGACTCACATTTAACTGCCTCTCTGCTATTTCTAACATGATTGCTGCTCATTATCTTAAACTAAACAGGCTCACTGCCTCGCAGGCTCACTGCCTCGCAGGCTCACTGCCTCGCAGGCTCACTGCCTAGGTTTTCTCTTTGCCTCCAACCTCTCCGTCACCCCTCATGTCCAATCAATTGCCAAATCCTGCAGCTTCCATCTGCATCTGCTCCTATCCAATGCTGGATGTGCTAAAGATGCTGGTCCATTCCCCTTTCCCACCCAATTGTCCATCTAATACTCCCTCCATTTTTCGGTTCAGAGCATGAGCCTTCATACTTCGCTTTTTGCAAGAGATCTCCTCTGTGAGAGGCTGTTAAATGGCAGATGGGAAATGAGAAATCATCTCTTCTGGTCCATCCTCGCAAACAGACACTGGAGGAGCTGTGACAGAACTCAGTTTACACAGTCTGTAGCTTTGTATGTAGCTCTGTTATTAAGGCTGACTGGACTATTAAGGACATTGGTCAAAGCTCCTGGTACCTATCTCTCCCCACCAATCTACTAAAGCTCAAAAATGCATGTTATAAATGCTGAAAACAGGCACCTCCTACAAGGCATGCACACTTTACTTATACAAACTTGCATTCACACACATGCACACACTACACACATGCACACACTCCCTGCCCTCTCACACACACACTCCACATATATACTCCTGCATTTACACTCATACACAGACACTTCACATATACAATCATGCATTCACACACATAAACATACACTCCAACCACAAATACAGTATTATATTCACAGTGCAAAGTGTGGCATTTATTGCTGTGAAGCTCTGGTATGCACTTAAACACAAAGCATATTATATTACGGGGCCACACAAGGTGCACACAAACATTTTAATTTCTGATGAGTGGTTTTGGTTTTTTCTGGGAGGGGGAGGGGGTGAAAAAAATCTCTTCCAGTACCCCTACCGATACTTGACTCTGGATCCGACTCCAACTCTAAATCCAACCTTAAACCCTTACAGTTCAGCGTATTATATAAATATGTATTTATAAACTTCACACTTGCCATGCACCCTACAACATTAAAACCACCTGCATTAAGGTGGCATTATCACAAATTATTGGGATTAATTGAAGATGCTATTTCTCTATGGGTATTCCATAGGACTCAGGGCTAACAATGAAATTGGGCCAAAATTAGACCTGGGACTTTTAAGGACCTCACTTTGGACTTCAGAATCTACCAACCCCTTAGAACTGCCCCTGGCTTCAATCATCTTAATAGACAATAAAAATAATTGATGAAAACTAATTTTCGTAAATTATATTTAAAAAAATGAGTTGTGCAAAAAAAAGCTTGATTCATTGGTTTATCCAGAAACGTAATGCAGTTAAAAGTCTTACCTTTATGACTGACTCAGAACAAATACTGAGTAATTGTTGAAAAATCTGATTATAAACCAATACAATTATTGGTCTTTCATGTGTACAAGGAACCTGTTGTGTATCTTGAATCAGCTGAGTAAGAGTCCAGACATCTACAACAGATGAACCTGCAAAGCAAATAATCATAAAAATGAATATTTGTCATACTAACAAGACATTAAACACGTTGTCCACTACCAAGAAAGTTGCATACCTATTGTACAGAACTAGGGAAATTGTTAGTGCTGTATACATAATAATAATAGTAATAGTGGGGATTAACTTTGGTTCACCTCCTTCTGCATTTGTCTCTCTTCCCTTCTACCCAACAGTGTCTCATGGCTCTATATGTCTTAGTTCTATATCTATATTCCATATTGATTTCAAGCTGTTCGCGTTTCCAAAACACTTCTGCAGCCGTCTACTCTTCCTAATACCCTTTCACTTCCCTTTCTAGAAAGGAGGAATTTGCATATATTAAGCCAAAATGGCTGACCTGAGAAATAGGCATCTATTTTGATCAATAATTTCCAATTTCTGACAATTCTCAGTTTTTGATTGGCAATTCCTGTCTCTTTCTATCCATCTCTGTCTTTACATATTTTATAGTATCTTCCCACATCACTTAACATCCTTTATTTTATATACCCCTCATGTATCCCCCTCTCTAATCGAGTCTTACCCTTAGCCCCAGAGACTGTTTCTCTCTTTCGTCACCCAACTGTTTCCATTCTTGTCATTTAACAAACTTTATTTTTTCCAGAGATTCTCTTCTGATTCCCACCATCAATCTCCCCAATTCTCTACTCTTTTGTTTCCTAGCCTATTCCTCTTCTCCATGGTTTCACCTTTTTTACCCCTGGATTCTCTTTTATATCTTTCTCACCCGAGATCTCAGGTTCCCTAAACTTCAGCCACATCAGTGCCCTACCAGGACCGGTTTGACATGTGGGCTAAAGGAGCTGAAGCTCTGGACCCATGCCTATAGAACAGGTCCATAGGAGCAAAGGTGAAACAGAGATCAGATATTTTTGCCATTTTTTGAATGAAATATGATTTTGTTTAGTATGGCCATGCATTTAATTCTATGTTCCTTTATCTGTTAGTATATAATGTGATTTAATCAGCAACAACACTGTTGATTATCAACAACTTCTTCTCACCTTCCGTAATCTTGGTCTACAAGACTCTGCTCTTTCCTGATTCTCCACCTACCCCCCCCACCCCCCCACGACTCCCTTTGTAAACTCATCAGCTCTTTTGGTTTTTAATATCACTTCTATGTGCATGACATGCAAATCTATGTGTCCTCTTCTGATCTCTCACTGTCTCTCTTGACTAACGTCTATTTGCCTCTCTGCTATTTCTAACAGGATGGCTGCTCATTTTCTTATACTTAACTTATCCAAAACAGAGCTTTTCATCTTACCTCCCTCACGTTTTGCTACTTCCATGTCTTTCTCCCTCAAGGTCAATGGCTCTACAATCTACCTCACAGGATCACTGTCTAGGACTTCTCTTTGACTTCAACCTCTCCTTCATACCCTCATGTCCAGTCACTAGCCAAATCCCGCAGTTTACATCTCAAAAACAAAGCTCACATCCGCTTTTATATAATGTGGGATGCGGTGAATGCAGGTCACCACTACTCCATTCACCGCTACTGCAATCAGCTACTCAGTGGTCCTACATGTTCCGAGCTGGCCCTGTTACAGTCTATAATGAATGTGGCTTTACTTACTTACAAATCTCTACGTAATGTTGCTCCAACCTACCTATCCTCACTAATACACAAGTATGTCCCGTCCAGGCCCCTATGCACTGCAGAAGATCTGCATCTATTCTTTGTTTGTACTCACACCTCTCACAGTCACCTTCCAAACTTTTCTAGGACTCTGTCATTCCTACAGAACTCCCTTCCCTTTAGACTCTCACTAAGTCTTAGTTCCTTCAAAAGATCATTAAAAACTAACTTCTCCCCCCAAGACTAACGATGAAGGCTGCCCTCATACACCACACCGAGTAACCCATATCCACCTACAAAAAATCCATTATGAGACACATGCTGGACGCAGCAAAATCCCTAATTCCACTGTACTAGAAAACAACGGACACACCCACGAAGGAACAATGGAAACGCAAAGTGGAATACATACGGACGGCAGAAAACAGAATAGCGAATTTGATGGGAAGAGGTGACAAGCACACGGAGCTATGGAGACCCTGGATACTCTACGCCGCGTAAGACTAGACATAGGGCGGGACACGCTGGACTACGAGGAACGCAGAAGAGAAGGGGGACCTGGGCAGGCCAGATGGGTGACCGACGAAGCTTAGCCCCGAGGAAGTACCCTCCCCCCTTCCCACTGTCCTACCCCAATTCCCAGACCAGGCCCGAACCCAACACACACACTCACAATGCTAGGTGAAAACCTGAAAAGGGTAACTCACTGGCACAAACATAGACGAGGCAAAGACACAGTAAAGGAGCAGACACAAACAGAAAGAACTGCCCCAGTGGAAAGGGAAGGCCATTCAGGCGTAGAAGAGCGCGATGACATTAGACAGCTTAGGGACACAGGGGCACAATAAACCCAAGAGACACATACTGAGCACAGGAATGGCGCAAAACTTAGGACACCGATATCCACTGATACGCACAACCCAACATACACAATGATACACAGCGAGAAGCACAAAACGCGGACAGAATAGAAAACACTTTATTACACTCTTAGCCCGCTTATACGTAAGAAACACGTGCAAAAATGACACAAAAAGGAGGGTATAAAGGAAGAGAAATAAAAACATCATAACCTGATGAAACTAGACAACATAAACTCAGACTTACAGGGAGATCGACATTTAGACGTCATAAACAGGAGTAAGACACCAACAGACGTGTACCTAGAACATATGGAGCCAGGAACAAATGGACAAAAATGCTAGGAAACACGATAAAACAATCGACCAATCGAGACCAGACGATATATCAATAGGCGACTCAAAGGAATCGGGGCAGGTCAACACGTTGCCCAGACCCAGGGAATTAGACTCCCCGGACTGTAATGAGACCTAAAGGACAGGCCACCAACCCATGGGGTCCGGGATTACAGCCAGAACACAGGAACCCAGGGTTATAACCAAGCCACAGAGAGAAAAAGAGGGTTGCTAGCCAAAACAATAATCCACTGATAACGGGGCCTGCGTGCCCGCACGAATATGCTACCGAATTGAAACCATTGTTCTATGAATATATGTCAAAGACCTGCAAGTCTACATGTTACAGATAAGATTGGAATGACTGATTTCTCTTGCAATAACGACAATAAAAACCATATTTACAAAAAAAACTAAAAACTAACTTCTCTAGGAAATCGTATAAATCAATCTCCTCACACCTTGGTAACCCACCACGCTTTCTCTCCTGCAACTGTGTCATTCATAAACTAATCCTTCACTGTAAACTTTTCTAGTAATCAACTCTTTCTCGTATGTGAAATGCATCTTACCCTTACCTCTTGTGCCACTATATATAGTCACCAAGTGGAAAGGCGCACGGTGAGGAAAAGTCACCATCGCTCTGCTGATTCCATAACTGAAGAGTTCCAAACTTCCACTGGCATTAAAATCAGCACACAAATTGTGTATTCTGAAATCTTGTGGAAAGCTTTGTAGAAAGAGCACAGGTGTCATAACTGCTAAGGGGTGAGGGGATGTCATAAAAGTCCCTGTTGGTGTCAAGGTGTCCCAATACTTTTATTCATATAGTGTATCAAGCTGACTCATACCACCATGACCACTTCAAATCCCTGAAGTGGTCATGGTGGCTGGAGTTACCCTTTAATAACAAATGATAGAAATGTAATATCTTATTTCTTGCTTTTTGGAACAATAAATCAATTGTGTGGGTAAGCAGTATGTTGCTTAGATAGTATATGAATATATACTGGTTTTAAGTGGAAACATATTCTAGTTATTTTTTTAACTAGGAGATTCATACCTGCTATAAGTTTTAGATTCTTGTTGTCAAATACGAAGGTATTTATTTGTCTAGCACCAGGTTTCGGGTCTTTATCAGCAAAAATGTAGAGAAGTGCATTGCATTGCAAATCCCATATTCTAAATTCCTAAGAACAAAAAAAATAAATTTTAAAAAAAATCACTTTTTTTTTACTAAATATATTATTTATTATACGTCAATACACCAAAATACTGACCTGCAATACTCCAATATATGGACCTGCAAACATTATCAGCTGACTTGTATATTGATCCAAGCACATTGAATATAAATTAGTTATTATATATTATATTGTATCCAGGGCTAAAATGTAATGTCTTATGCTACTAGCACCACTGCAAGCCATAGCATACTCACTAATTTCTATTTGCCCAGGCTACTTTTTCGCTTGCTAGTGGTGAGTGGAAATTTTGAGGACTGTTATATCTAAAAATTGTATGAATTACACGGCATGTCCAATGTCTGATAAATATAATGCCAGGTTCACAAATTTTATACACACTTCTCAAAATGGTTTATAGTACATGCACACGTTAATATGATTTATTAAAGGTGTATGTATAAATCCTATGCATTAAGTACAAAATACTGTAGTGACATGGGCGCATTCCAGTCTTAAGAGGATCAAAAGATTAAAGTGGATTATTATGTAGAAGGCGCAGCATACACAAGTAGATAACAGATTTTTGAGAATTGTAATGCCTGACTTCATGTACAGACTAGAGTAACAATTAATAAAAAATTTCAAATTTTATTTTAACATCTTCATTACCAAGCAGGGACATAAATAGGAATCATTTGGTGCTGGTGCAAAAATAGAAGAAGGACATCCCTTTTTGCTGCCCTACAAACAATATACCTAAACAGGGTATGTAGTGGTTTATTGAGATGATGGACCATATCCTTGAGCAGCAGAGAATGATATCTTCCTTTCCATCAGGAATGAGCATAGGAGTGATAGGTCCACTGGGATAAGAGGAATGGAGAGCTATAGTTCAAATAGTGGCAGCCGTTAAACCATTGGTTTTTAAACCAGGTCTCAATAAACAGCCCAGGATTTTGGATTACCCACTTGTGTTTTAAAAAGAAAATAATCCAACACCTTCACACAGCTGTGTAATCCCTAAATTCTGGACTGGTAGGCGTGCCTTGAGGATTGGTTTGGAAACCACTGCCTTATGCCTTTCAAGGACATCACAGACAATTTAAGTCAAGCCAGTGTAAGCATTGGGCAGGTGATCCCATTATTAATGTTTATAAAGAACAACATAGAAGCAGTCCTACAGAGCTGAGAGATTGAACCTGGAGAAAGGCTGCATCAGACAGGATGGTTGGAGGATGCATTGAAAGGATGCAAGAGTGAAATGAGGGACACCATTCCAGAGTTAAAGCAGGATGCCATTAGTGATCCAATAATAAAGGGCAATCTGGCTGAGGAGTAATACCCTATGTGGAAAGACAGACAAGTTAATAAAGTGCATGAGGTGCAGAGAAACTGGAAGAATAGCAGCAGTTGGTAAAGGGAGAAACAAGTATTTAAACATGCAGTGAATGTAGCAGTGGCAGCACCTCTATGCAGTAGAGATTCTCCTCCTTAGCTAAACAGCGATCATGATAGTGGTGATAAAGGTAGAGGCAGACAGACTTGAGCAGCAACCGCTTGGGCCAAGACCATTACCAGTGCCATGTTGGGTGGAATCATAGGAGCCACATCATCAATCCCAGAGTAGCGCCTCTGAAATGGCTAATGCATACCTTTCAGAATCTACTTTATTTCCTACTACAGAGTCTCCTAGTAATTAGGAACAAAAAAGTCAAGTGTAGCCTGTGCAACAATTGCCGACATACCCACTCACAGGTATTAAGAGTTAGAGGGGTTTTTCAGTTACTGGCCACATCTTCAATCCCTGAGGTCACCTTTCACACCAAATTAAGTTGAGAATTACATTTTTCTAATTCAACCAACTCAAGTTTGACTATCCATTTCCACATGTTGATTGTAGACAAGCTTTCAGCTTGCACCTTTATTATTTTCTTCTTTTAGAGGTGTGATTGCCACATGTTCCCTGGACTCACATCCACAAAATCTTTTGCTGCTGCCATTCTGAGTAAACATACCACAGGCTGTTTATCTTCTACTCAGATTTTGTTTAACCCCTTAAGGACACATGACATGTGTGACATGTCATGATTCCATTTTATTCCAGAAGTTTGGTCCTTAAGGGGTTAAGTGGCACTGCCAGTGGCTAGGCACAGCAGTAACATAACCAACCACCTCACCAGGGAGTAGGGTGCCACTGCAGTGCTTCTACGCTTCTACCTATTAAAGCACTGCAGTGTTTTGTTACCTTTTTGCTGGAACCTAGTATTATAGTAAAGATGACTCTTTGCTACTGATACCTCTTCCCACAGCTACCTCTTCTTCATGCGCAAAGGCTGCTGCTGCTGTTCAGACCTCAATAAATGAAAATAGCCACCTTTAGGGGTTGTTGGTAATCGTGTCTTTGCAATGCCTCTCTCTTTAGTAGAGACCTTGGATTATATGGAATTGACTGTTACTGCTTCCGCTCTTCTGCTGACTTAAAAAAAAAAAAATATATATATATATATATATATATATATCTTCATCTCGTGATTTCAAGGAGTAGTTTACAGCTGCAGTCCTTCTCCCTGGAAAGCACTGCAGTGTTTCAGTAAATTTTTGAAGGGACCTTGTATTATATTAAATTGACTGCACGACTTTCTGCAACTACTATCTCCCAAAGAAAAACATTGGATTGGCTAAGATTGTCAACTCTGATTATCTCAGTCAAGGAGATGGACCAGAGGCGAGGCAAGCACCAGCAGACCCACACAGCCCTGGAATAAAGGTGAGTTTTTGCCGTATTAAGGTGGGCAAAAATGGGGTCTTAAATTAAGGGTTAAGGGACTAAATCAAGTGTCAAAACAAACATAAACACCACAAACTCAGTGCTCTAATAGTGTAAGTTACTTAACTTCAATTAGTATGCAGCCTCCCAAGATCGTAATCCACAACAAACGATCTTTACACATACATAGAACCACAAACAAAAATGGGATACGGCTGTATAAACTATGGAGAGAACATACAAAAACAAAATAGTGTAATAAAGTGTATACAATGAATCGTGCGCTTTAAATGAATGCACTCACAAGATGATGTAAAAGAAGAGCGTTCATAAGGTGCCTCCCCTGATAGTATGGGGGGCTAGTAGATTATACAGCCGTATCCCATTTTTGTTTGTGGTACTAAATCAAGTGTGCCTTACAAAATCCAGAACACTATTAAATATTTTATTTTACCATTTCCATTAGTAGCTTATGGAATTTGGAGATAAGTAGTTTAATAATTAGTCCTTGTGTCATTTTGTGAATAGCTATGCACCAAAAAAAAGGAAATTATCTGCAACATTTTCTTAGGACACTTACTCCTGATGTGCAAACACTAATAAGATGCTGGTCTTTTTCATTGACTGCTAAATCTACAACTGTGGATCCATGTCCATACAAAATTCCCAAAGGTTTCTTGAGGATATTTGGAAGCCAGGTGTAAATAAATGTATCTGCTCCTGCAAAAAAAAAAAGAGGACATAATAAATGTTATTATACGTCTGCTTCTTTTTTTCTTCAGGGAAATCAGATCTGCAGACATTGGGCCATACATTTCAATATTATTTTTCTTTATTAAAGTTCAGATGTTGTGTGTTACAAATAAGTTGATGGAAAGTGAAATATCACATTAAATTTATCATACACATATCTAGAACATGAAACATTACATATAGAATGCTTCCAGACTAGCTGTAGGAAGGGGTGATAGAGACAGGGCATAGAAGGATGTCAATATTTCACAGATTATGCTTTGATGATATAAGATGAATAGGTTAGTTAGAAGATCAAATTGGAAGTTTTTGTTTGGTCCCAAAAATGTAGGGTAGGCATTTAAAAAAAAAAAAAAAGGGCTCAAACGCTAAACATTGTATATATAGAGGGTCAAAAGTAAAATGGAAAAATATGTATGGGGGTGTATATTACCATCTTTTCTGTAATTATTTATTTTCTTATCTCTGTGTCTGTCTTCTTTTCCATGCCATACTTCTCCCTTAATGTTTGATCCTTCCCACATTTTCCTGATTCTTCCTAACTTCGGTCACATTAAGGACACTGGTGATTCTCCCACACTGGTGCTTAATTGTTGGGAGAGGTTTGCATCCTGGCTCTCATTAAAGGGACTCTCCAATGAACCTGCATTATCTGATTATACTTTACTACCTGAGCCAGTTTGTTAACAGGCCCATTAAAATGTGTGTTGAATACCCAAAGAATACACTAAGTGATAAATCTGGGATATTACTATACTACTCTATGAGAGTGTTGTTTTTGTTTATTATTCCAGGAAGAAGCAATATCACTGTATTCATTTCTAGGTACATCCTTACTCACTTTTTCACACATTGGGTGCTGTGAACCCTGGGAGCTAGATTATTAAATACTACTTCTAAATATCTTGCGCTGAGCACTTTACTTTTTATTGTATAACATTGATCTGACATGTTCACTCTTGAGGGCTTAACATACCATTGTATTATGTATGCTTCATAACTGATAATATATATATATATATATGTATATATATATATATATATAAAATGTAAAAGACAAAAAAAAACAACTGTTCAAAAATGAGCTGTAGTGGTTATGGTGCTTGGAGTGTGTGCTCTGCTATGTATGCATTCTTCTTTATTCTGTTTGAAGGAAAGCCGTGTCTCACCCATGACTTGTGTGCAGTGCTGGTTGTTAAATAAGACAGAAAGTACCTGCAATTGCTATCATTTCTGCTTTGACACAGTATACAAATGCTGTAATTCCACGTGCAAGTGAGATTCCAGTGAGAGGTCTGTGGATTACAAATTATATGAATATTAAAGACACTAACAAAAAGTTCCAAATATGCATTTTACAAGGTCTATATAGAATAACTAAGTCTCCAGCTGTAGTATCTTGGAGTCAAGCTTGGAGGAAAGTACAAACAAATGTCCTTTTTTAATGCACAAAACCGTGCATGTGGAGCAACCAGATGGAGCTTGTACTATACATACACATTTACATAGATGTATAGTACGAGCTCCATGTAGTTGTGTCACATTTGTGTGCATAAAAAGGCCATTTATAATTATTACTTATTTATTTATTGACAGAGGCTGCTAGAGTTGTGAGGTGTGACCGGGGCTGGCCTTAGGGTTGTGCGAGCTGTGCGGCCGCACAGGGCGCCATGGAGCAGGGGACGCTGTGAAGATGTTTCGCACAGGGTGCCTAAAGGCCTAAGGCCAGCCCTGGGTGTGACATCATATATAGCTGCAATATCCATGAGACCTGCACACTATGACAGGCCTTACAAGAGATCTCTACATGCCAACGAGATGCAAACTCTGTTGCCCACTGTATCCATTGCCACTGCTAATGACTGGCAGGCCCGGACTGGCCATCGGGCATACCGGGCAAATGCCCGGTGGGCCGCGGCCAGCAGGGGAGGTCACAGGATCTCCCCTGCCGGTCTATGCAGGGCCGGCCCCGCTGTCTTCCATGGAGATCTCCCTCACCGGCCCACATGCTCAAACGCGGCCGCCGGCGGGGGGAGAGGGAGGGAGACAGCCGCCAGGAGAGAGGACCCGGCGGAGCTCTAACTTGCAGCTCCGCTGGGTTTCTCTCGCGAGATCCGGACCGTTGCTATGGCAACCGGCCGGGTCTCGCGAGAGTGAACTCTAGCCCCAAAGGGCTAGAGTTCACTTACCACGAGGACCACCAGGGATGGATGTCAGCAGCACGACCCCCACCCCCTTCCAGACTACAGGTAAGAATGGAGGGGGGAGGGGTGAAATATAATGTATTTATTATGTATTTATTATTATTATGTATTTATTATTATTATTTATTATTTTTATTATTATGTATTTATTATTATTTTTTTAGTAAAACATTAATAGTGCCATTTACCTGCCTCCCCCCAATACAAAATCCTTGCAAACACACACATCACCCTCACCCAGCACCCTAACATTGACACATCACCCTAACACACACACACACACAGCACCCTAACACACACACAGCACCGTAGCACTCACACAACACCCTAACACACACAGCACCCCAACACACACACAGCACCCTAACACACACACAGCACCCTAACACACACACAGCACCCTAACACTCACACAGCACCCTAACACACACACAGCACCCTAACACTCACACAGCACCCTAACACCAGCACCCTAACACACACACAGCACCCTAACAACACAGCACCCTAACACTGACACAGCACCCTAACACACACACAGCACCCTAACACCAGCACCCTAACATTGACACAGCACCCTAACACCAGCACCCTAACACACACACAGCACCCTAACACCAGCACCCTAACATTGACACAGCACCCTAACACACACACAGCACCCTAACACCAGCACCCTAACATTGACACAGCACCCCAACACACACACAGCACCCTAACAACACAGCACCCTAACACCAGCACCCTAACATTGACACAGCACCCAACACCAGCACCCTAACACACACACAGCACCCTAACATTGACACAGCACCCTAACACACACACAGCACCGTAGCACTCACACAGCACCCTAACACCAGCACCCCAACACACACACAGCACCCTAACACCAGCACCCTAACATTGACACAGCACCCTAACACACACACAGAACCCTAACACCCGCACCCTAACATTGACACAGCACCCTAACACCCTAACATTGACACAGAACCCTAACACACACACAGCACCCTAACACCAGCACCCTAACATTGACACAGAACCCTAACACACACACAGCACCCTAACACCAGCACCCTAACATTGACACAGAACCCTAACACACACAGCACCCCAACACACACACAGCACCCTAACACCAGCACCCTAACATTGACACATCACCCTAACACACACACAGCACCGTAGCACTCACACAACACCCTAACACACACACAGCACCCCAACAACACACACAGCACCCTAACACCAGCACCCTAACATTGACACAGCACCCTAACACCAGCACCTAACATTGACACAGCACCCTAACACCAGCACCCACTCACACAGCACCCTAACACCAGCACCCTAACATTGACACAGCACCCTAACACACACACAGCACCCTAACACATACAGCAACCTAGCACACACACACACCACCCCAACACATACACAGCACCCCAACACACACACAGCACCCCAACACACATCACCCTCACACACACACACATCACCCTCAAATACACAGAACCCTCGCACAGTGCCCTCACACACAGCGCCCTCACACACAGCACCCTCACACACACATACTGCACCCCCCCACACAAACAGCACCTTCCCACACACACTATACTCCTCACAAATGCACAATACACCCCTCACACACACAGCACCCCCCAAACACACTGCACCAGTCACACACTCACTAGATCTCCTATACGCACTCCTGAGTCCTTCAAACACACACTAGATCCCCTACACACAGACGCTGCACCACTTACACACAGACTACATTTCTGACATACACACTCAGGATCCCCTATGAACACACTAGATATCCTTTAAGCAAACACATAGTGTCTCCATAAATGGGATACATTGAGTATTCCAATTACGGAAACCCCTGAGACAAGTTTCAAGCAAACACAATGCAAGCATGTTATTAAATTTTCTTGCGCTGTGCAGATCAAATACAGGGCCCTTTTCTCATGCCCTGGAAGAGCATTGAACCAACATGCTCACTTTGAGATGGGGCGTGCTTGTCATTGGGGATGACAAAACACAACCTATCTGGCCCTGCCCCCTTTTCAGTGGGCCGCTGTAATTAAAAATGCCCGGGCCGAATTTTTTCCCCAGTCCGGCCCTGATGACTGGTGTGTGCTATGAATGATTACTGTCTTAGCTCATCTTGTTGTCAAGCCCAGATTTGCTATAAGACCACGGATTCAGGACAGCAGACAGTAGATCGCCCTCACCGGCCAGCCTATTCCTCTGCCAGGGAGGGGGCAGATGGCAGAGGCAGATAGGGGAGATCTCTTTGGCAGGCCCTGCTTGATCCTCATTGCCAGCCAGATACCTCTATTGTATCAGTGTGTTAGCATGGGTTTCCACTGCAATGATTTGTTACAGTTCCTGGCCCAGGCCGGAAGGGTCTGTCTGCACGCTAGAGAAGTACAGACAAGCAGCTTTTCCCACAGCACCAGGAATCCCCCCTCCCTGGCACACGATAAGCTTCTGGGAGGGAGGAATACACTTAAGTCTAATAAGTTTTGTTTTAATACAACACTTCAGCTTCTATCCTTATACTAAAGCATTTATCCTCCCACCATAGTTCTTATCCTCCACTATGGCCACTACACCCCATTATCCCCTGCCACCCCCTATACCCTAACTATGCCCTTAACTGAAGCGCCTCTCTAGAGTCACTGCTCTCCTACTATAGCTTCTATTTCCAATTACAGCCCCTTTGCAGCCACTTTAACCCCTGCCCTCCCACTACAGTTCATTTCTCTCTCTCTCAACACACACAACCGTCAATGTCTCCCACTGATGCACACAACAGTACCTATCACCACAAATGCACACAACAGCCCCTATTCTTCAAACTCATACACTACAGCCCTTACCCCCCCTCATGCACACACACTGCAGACCCAATTCCCCACACACACTGCAGACCCAATTCCCCACACACACAATACATCCATCAATTTACTTCCCAAATACACCCTACTGCTCCTTCCCCCAAATATGCCTTTCTGCCCCTTTTCCCCCAAATAAATATACTTTACAGCCCCTACAGCCCCTATCATACCATAAACTAATATCATTAATGCATCCAATCCTCAACCTGTGCTGCCTGTTGTCACTGGCAAACACCACCAGGGTGGTAGCATGGCCAACCTCACACACCATAGTCCAGTGGGAAATATCCCAGTGGGCCATTTCAGGCCTGGGGAGAACTGAAAGCACAGGAATCCAGGCCAAGCTGAAGCCCACATAGTGCTGGTCTAAGTCACATCATGCTGGTCTAATTTACAACTGTGATT